CTCATCTCAACATTATCCCTGCTATTGATTAGTCTGATCTCAGCCTGGAGTGCTGGGAAGCAACAAAACACACAGTTCTTTCTCTTCTTTTTTTCCATTGACATCCCACTGACTCCCACATAATCTGCAAAAAACAAAAAATGCTGTAACCCAGCCTCCCTTCTCACACCCCACATTGATCAGCACCACACTGATAGAGCTGAGATTCTAAAGTGTGCAATCACAAAGAGTAAGTAAAAGCTTTTCATCCCTCTTAGCTGAATTGGTTTTGCTGCAAAGCAATCATTAAGGAGACACAACTTGCAGCTCAGAAAGCAGTTGCTCTCAGTCTGCATCATGGATTTTAGAGTAAACCCCTTGATAACAATATTGACATGTTACTGCTTCTGTCAGATTTGATGTTGACTTGAGAAATATAAGTTTGTGCAAAACATTCTAACGGCTTGCAAATTACTCACAGAGAACAGTGAGTTGCCAGAAGATTTACAGTAAGTGGAAAATGTGATTCACCCACTGTGATGCTTCAACCCCTAAAAAAATCAGTGGAAATGTAGGCTGCGCCTACTACCAATCATTGTTTCCACACAGGAAAATGTACAGGGGTTTAACCTATTTAAAAAAAAATCAGTCTGTATCACATGCCTGACTGCAGGATATCTGTCTGTGCTGAGGAGGGATGTGGGCAGAATGATGCTTTCATCTAACTCTATGGTATTTGGTGAAAGGATGTATTGATAGACAACAAGGTTTTCTGCAAATTGTCCTTCTAGTGGCAATTTCTGGATTTTATTTTAACCAGAAAGTGGAGAACAAAATGTCATGTTTTAATAGAGGGAATGTTATTTTATGAGAGATGTTTTGTAGTGTAACATAAAGTCAAATCAAGAGCCATGTTCATTGGATTGTGGAGCTTAGATTCTAGAACCTGTGACATGGGGTAACTATTCCCCAGCTCCTCCACTCAGCTGGCTCTCTGCCTGGACTCTGTCACTCACTCAAAGACAATCTAGGGCGGTGGTGTCGAACTGCAGTCCTCGAGGGCCAGCATCCTGAAACTTTTACAACATGTGTCCCTGCTGCAACACACCTGACTGCATGCTGAGGTGGCAACCCTAACCCTACTCGAGTCAATTTAAAGAAATGCAAGTATTTGGAAAAGTACTTGTTCATTCACTTTATAAATGTGCTGCTGTATCATGAATCAAATGGCTGAATTGCCACCTCAGCATGCGGATGATCTGATATCCTCGTGTCGGTGTTGTTCCCACATCAACATAATAAATGTTGTTCCAGGTTCAACATTGCAAGTGACCAATCACATTGTTGTGACGTCCCCCTTTTTTGCCTTTGAAAAATACCCCCTTAAAAAAATCGACTTCACTTGTGAGAAGAGAAACCGCTTCTGTGCCAATCCAGGAACTTAAATACTTTGCATTTCAGGATACTTTCCTTTAATAAACGGTAAGCATTATACATATTGTCCTTACAGAGGCGGTTTCTCTTCTCGCAAGTTAAGTAGGCGTTTGTTTTTTTTCAACGTCAGGAGAAGGTGATTGGTCACTTGCAATGTTGAACCTGGAACAACATTATATATGATGACGAGGGAAAAACACAGACACGAGGATATCAGATCGTCCCTAGCATGCAGCCACGTTCTACGGAGTCTTGCTAATGACCTACTAATTGTATTCAGGTGTGTTGCAGCAGGAACTCATGGAAAAGGACTGGAGGTTTGAATACACTCATCATGGACCTTCAATGAGAATTCACAATGAGTTTCTTCATGATGTAAGAACTAACAGGAGCCATCTCTGAGCTCCAGCCCCAAACTTTGCTACTGTGACGTTGGCTTGTTTGGAGAATTCCTCAAGCAGTTTTCTCTTCCAGATCAAGTTTCCATTTAAACTGCACTTTTTGAGCAATTTTAATTTTGAAACGTCAGAATGTGTTGTCTCGTCTCCTCAAATACCATATACACCTGGCTCACTATTTACATCCCCGAAGGTGGTCTGCAGTCTAGTAGGGGTGCCTGCGTAAGAACCAGTCTTTCATGATTTTATCGCTCAAGAATTCGTTTTTCTGGGCACAGAATCAACATCAGACACGTCATCACAATCCTTTTTGGTTTTAGAGGAAGGGAGGGTAGGAAAGGGCTCACAGAGCAGTTCAACTGACAAACCTACTTGGGAGAAGGGGCTAGGTAAAAGAGGCCTCTGAAAGAGGGGTTGGGGTTTAAATACTGGTCTACAAGGTTTGATGGAAACAGATGTCAAACAGGAACTTGTGTGTTTAACGTCTCCTCTGCAACAAGCTTCCTGATCTGCCTCGACAGGCGCCGGCCTGCAAACTGCTGCCTCATACTTCACCTCGGACCGTCTGTGACCTACTTTCTGCTGGGATGTGGAAAGTCAAAACAAAAAAGTAAGAGAAACAAAAGGCTCACTTGCTTGCAGGATGATTTGGACTGATCATTTTAGGTAGCGTCTTTTCTAGCTCCTCTGTGCCACAGTGTAAAATCACAGCGTTTAATAATGATTTAGGGGAAACACGTAGTACTGAGTAGCCACAAAAATCAGCACGATATCATAAGCAGAAGAAAAACCTGGTGTACAGTAATACAACATCACATCTTGGAATAAGTTATAGAAGTAAAAAGTTTTTCTGCCGTACAATATTCAGCATACTTTGTTTGTAATCCAAGCTAGTGTTAGATAATGAACTAGCTTGCTAAATTTGATATAACGCAAAATCAACTGCTCTGCTAAAGTCTCAGCAAACAGCTTGATTGAAATCTAGATATTCCCTCAGCTCATGACATTTATCTGAGAATTAGGGAGAAGGTCCTATGGGTAAACTTTGATAGCATTTGTGTGGATAGTGTATTCCATGTGTGCATATCTTTCCCATCAGCTCAGCTCCACAAGCTTTTTCTGACTGATAACAGCTGGACAAGCTTAAAGCCCATTTCTCTGGGATGGTAAACATCTGGGCTCAGACACACCTGGGCCCGGTGAGGCCAGAGGCCAATCTACCGATCTATCTGTCTATCAAATCTGAACACTTTTTGTTTTTCAGAATTCCTCGTACTCTTCTACTTCCAGACAGACAGAAAAAGCACACTATGGAAAAAAATGAAGATGATGTTGTGAAAAATGACACAGCAGAGTTCCTAGCATGGATTGCTTCAGAAATTAACCTCCTGACATAACTCCCAGAAATATTTCTGTTTTCATGTTAGAACAACAATGTTAGCATTAATATAAAGGCTAGTAATGTCACTTTTTCCCATGACCAGACACTCAGCTAATATATTATATTTTCAAGTTGAGACGTCCAAACCAACATAATCTTCTCAAGTGGACAACTTTTGTGGGAGAACTTCTAAAGCCACTTACTGTTTTAATACTAACTTCAAAAAATCCTAAACATTTGTTTTATACAGCAGGTGGAAGATTTGCTGGTCAGTTACGAGTCTCTGAGATAGTATGGGTCCCTCATTTATTGCATATGCATTATGTATTCAATCAGCATTTTTCCTTTGTTCTAATATAACTCCTAATGTTTGAGTGCCCCCAAGTTTCACACCAGCAAAGTTCACTTTACATTGCTGTTAACTTTGATTATCTTTATAGACCATCTTTACTGTGCCTTTTACATCTTATGTAAACAGTTAAAAAGAGAAATTTGTTTTGTGCCCACTATCATACTTGTTTTTGTTTTTTTTTTAATTTAATGAATTACTAAAGTTGTGTGGGCCTGTGTATCTCTCTGTGTGTGTGTGTTATAGTTATGTTTTTTTATTCTGTTTTTAAACATGCTTTTTTGTTCAGCAATTTGTGACTGTATGTCTGAAAAGCACCGAAAAGTGAAAAGTGCTATATAAATAAACTTACTTAAAAGGGGATTTTATCTGTCAGTAGGAATAATAAACAGGAATTCCTGCAGAAATTTACATTTTACAAGAAGATCCTGTCTGTAATACTGTTAATTATTGTTCTCTCACTAGATCAGTGGTCAACAATAAATCATAACATCTCCTCCTATGATGTGATGCTTCTCTGTGTCTAAAGACAAGGATTACTTCATTTTATTTAAAAAAAAAAAATTCATATATACATATATGGACTTTTAGCCAAAAAGTCTATTGTGCACATGAACCTGTTTGAAAACACTTGGAGGAAGGGGTGAGGTCAGATTCCCTGAAAGCTAAATAATATTTTTCATGGAGCTCAAGTGCGAGTGGTACTTCCTGTACCCTGGCTGTAGTCCACGCACTACTGCTTGACTCACACTCCTGCTGACATTAGTTTTATTACTCATCATGGGATTGTGACCTGAACCTCTGCAGCCTGAGGGAGAGCAACAGGGTGACAGGGGTCAGGTGAGGGCATGATTAGGCTGCTTGAAGCACCTCCAAATAGGACTCCCAGTGAGGAGCCAAAAGCATTTGTCATTAAGGGGCGTGTTGTTGTTGGGGGGTGGGAAAATCAGGAGCATTAGGTTAACAAACAAAACAGAGAAGAAAGTAGGAGGGAGAGGTGGGACAGACTGGCCAGGGTGGAAGTGGCTGACTCAGGCAGGGTTCACCGAGTTCAGCTAGTAAATAAGTGACTGACTCTTCCAACTGCATTCCAAGGCTCCACCTCACCCTCCTTCCCAGCGTCTTCTCGGGGGGATTCCTGGGGTTTCTGGGGCTGCTCTGTATGTCAACATTTCCAGACCCTGCTGCCAGCAGGGAAAGGGGGTGGGGCAGCTGCTGCGTAGCTCATTCACTTTTTGTGTGTTTACCAGGGGTGGAAGTAACGAATTACAAATACTCACGTTACTGTAATTAAGTACATTTTTTGGGTACTTGTACTTTTACGAGTAATTTTTCAAGTTTGTAATTTTACTCATACTTGAGTACAACTTACACCATGTAATCTACTTCGCTACTTATAAAATCAAAAGTCACTACTGAGTACGCCCACAATTTGAATTAATATTCAAACCTTTCGTCTGCATTTTTGCAGCCAATAACGCTTACGTCTTTGCTTACGTCTTAAATTGGCGCGGTCAATCGAGACCGTGCCAATTTAAGACGTAAGCAAAGAATAAACTCCGCTGCAGCAGCAGGCACAGGTGTCTGGAGGTGCTAAATGGTGGAGTATAAACTACTTTATAGACGGAAGATTTGGAGACAAAGAAGCCAAAATGGAGACAGAGGATAACACTGTCAACCATGAAAACGACGTAGAAAAGACGGCGGACGCGTGCCCGTGGCCATACCTGGAGGAATTTTTCGTGTGCAGAGGGAGAAAAGGAGACAGCGTCCAGATGCAGTGCAAACTTTGTTTGACCTCTACAGTCATTTCAGCTTACAAGACTTCAGCATCTAATCTAAAAAAACACATTGAGGTAAGAGGTTTTACAACTATACGTGTATGATATTGCTTTCTTATTTTTCATGTGTTTTAAGGTTACTAGTTTGGCTAAGATATTGTCACCGCCATTGGTTAGCCTGATATTAAAATAAGACGGAGCTAGCTAATGTGCTTGTGTGTGCATGCATAATTGAGCTACAATTCGTAGGAATGTTTTAGCTTATTATTTGGATAACCACCGTCATTACAATAAATTAAACTTGTAGTCATTTAAAACTCACAGGCCTACAATCAGCTGGCCTATTTAAAAAAACAAACAAACTTGAACACAGTGCTGAGCTGCATCTCAAATTAATCTTCCAGCTCTCAGCTGACATGTACCAGAGCCCGATTGATGGATCAGTTGATCAGTATCATTGGCCTGATATAGGTCTATCATAGTGACGTGGCTCTTAATCAGTAGGGTTATATGTTTCCCAATATGATATATTTTTTTAAAGAACATAATGTGGATTGTTTTTATTTGTTAGCTGTATGGGCAGCATTTTTCTGTATGTGATCCCTTTTCTTAAATTAGATTTGCTATATACACATATTTTGCTCTCTTAGTATTTTTAGGACCTGACTAATACTGAAAACTTTAGGGTGATACTGATAAAAAGGAGTTAAAAATTTAGATACTGATACATTGGTCGATACTCTTTTTACAGATAGTATACAGATTACAGAACTTAGAATGTATACAGAAATTCATGTTTTTTGCAATGATCGTTCAAAATTGGTTTACACTTGTAAATAAATACAGCAATATATCTGCAAAATTTGACCAATTCACCACTCTTTTATACTATGCTCAACAATCAAAGATTAGCTCAAGTCTAGTTGAATAATGTTTTAAAAACGTGTTTTCCTTTAGTGTTAATCACAGTGATGTTATGAAGTAATGTATGAACCTGACGTATGATAATATTTATCTCTACAGAGGAAACATCCATCGAAGATTGAGCAGTACAATATCACTGTGGCATCAACATCTCGACAGCGAAAGACCACAGCCACACCAAACAAGCTCTCAGCAAATACACAAGCCAAGTTACCAGACCTGATGTTGAGAGCTGCAAACAAACATGTTCCACAAGCAACTGTTGACAAGCTTGTCATCAATTTCATATGTGAGGGTCTACAGCCATTTGCAGTGGTAGAACAGCCATCTTTCAAAGAATTGGTTACCACATTACAACCTCAAGCCAAAGTCATCTCCAGACCCACTGTCCGTGCCAGAATCTGTGAAGCTGCTGATCACATGAAGATGACTTTGGTTGCAGCATTGGATAAAGTCAAATTTGTTGCTACCACTACTGATTGTTGGTCAGCTCATCAGAAAAGTTACCTTGGAGTCACATGCCATTGGATAGAGGAAGAGTCCCTGGAAAGAAGATCTGCAGCACTAGCATGCAAAAGATTGAGAGGGTCTCACACATTTGACATGCTTGCTGGTGCGCTTGATGATATCCATTGCCAATACAAGATTAGAGGCAAAGTTGTAAGAACCACAACTGATAGTGGATCCAACTTTGTCAAGGCCTTCCACATGTTTGGGGCACAAAATGATGCAGATGAAGCTGAAGATGAAGCAGACCCAGAAACTCTTGACCTGACTGACCATATTGACTACCATGAGGCAAGTGCAATTCTTGATGAAGACTCTGGTTTGGAGTATCAACTTCCGCCTCATCAGCGATGTGCATGTCACCTGCTAAACCTTGTGGCAACATCTGATGCTGCCCTAGCAGAGAGCATGAATGACACCTACAAGAGGCTCTCCCGTGCAACCTTTGCAAAATGCCAGGCCATTTGGAACAAAACTGGCTGATCTCATTTGGCTAATGAAGTGGTAGAGGACAAGTGTGAGCTACAGATCATTCGTCCCAATGCAACACGATGGAATTCAACCTACCTTGCCATTGATGAGAAGGGGGAAGATGCCACCAGGAGCATTTGTGAGGAGTTCAAGGTGAAAATGTGAGTAAAATTGGACACCTACCAATATGGTTGCAAATTTTGTGAATTTTCCTTAATGGATGGTTAAAAACGTGAGCAGACTCTTAATATTAAATCAGAAGATCCCTATTATAGTCATGGTGGGTTTTGTTGTTGTGTCTTACAGGTTGAGTCCTGCAGAAGTTGCATTCCTAAGGGAGTACTGTACCACCATGAAGCCACTGGTGAAAGCTTCAAACATCCTTCAGTCTGAGTCCACTTCCTTTATGGGATGGCTCCTGCCAGTAATCCAACAACTACTGTCCAAACTTAGCAGGCTGGAGACATCAAGCAAGACATGCGTGCCACTCATCAGAGCCCTGCAAAATGGCCTTCAAAAGCATTTTGGAGCGATGATGGAGGATCCAGAGTTGGCTGCAGCTGCAGTCCTCTTACCCAAGTTCAAGACTTCCTGGACTGACAGAGCAGATGTAATAGAGGCTGGTAAGGATTCATGTGATCCCATTTTTGTGTATTTTTACATTTGAACACATGCTTAAGTGAGTATTTCACCTAATACATTGTAAGTTATTGATGGTCTGTCCTGAATACTAAACAATCCTTTTTGAGAATTTGCCGATTTTAAATTTGTGTTCAGGAATAATCACTGAAATTTAAATAACAAAATTGTGTTACCTACTTGCAATTACAGCCTTGACATACATCAAACAACATCTTGAAACGACAGAGCATGAGAGTGAGGATCAGCAAAGAGAGTCATCTGATGAAGATGAATTCTTCTCCAGACCAATCTCCAGAAGGCTGCAAAGTGCAGTTGAGCTTCATGGTTATCTTGCTTGTGCCACAGACACCATGGAGCTGCTGCACTCCTTCTCAGCCATCAAAAACCTCTCTCTTAAACTGAACACAGCTCTGCCTGCTTCTGCTGCGTGTGAACGACTTTTTAGCTGTGCTGGTCTACTCTTCACTGCCAAACGAAGTCGGATTGCCTCTGTTAATTTAGAAAACCAGCTCTTGCTGAAACTGAACAAAAGGTTCAGAAAGTAAAGTGTGAAAGAAATGCTAAGAGTTTAAGACACTTACCTGCCTGTTGTTCAGTGTATGGGGAAAAGTTTAAATGGTTCTACGCATGTTCAGAAACATTTTTGTCATTGTTTTAACAAACAAAATTCCTCCTTTTATATCTACATTTATTTACAAAACAAGTTACCTTTCTATACCTTGTTCATCTGAAAAATGTGCTTTGAACATAAATATTTATACTGGTGAATTGAGTTGAATGCCTGCTATTGACAACAGAATAAAACATCAGTCTGTTAAAAAGTAATTAATACTCTGAGTAGTTTTTGAGAACAGTACTTTGTACTTTTACTCAAGTATTTTTTTAACACCAGTACTTTTACTTGTAATTGAGTACAATTTAACCAGTGTAACAGTACTTGTACTTGAGTACAAATTTTGAGTACTCTTTCCACCTCTGGTGTTTACAGATGAAGAAGCGAAGGTACACAACTCTTGTCCCCTAACAGAAGCATTTTAACAGCCCCAGTCATACGAGGTTGTTCTCTCAGAAAGCTCTTGTAGTGCTGCTGCTGACTGGCTTTTGAGCTTGTATTTGATTGTGTACCACAGCTCTGGTAGGTAGACGTGGCTGTCAGTTGTGATTAGAAGTTTACGTACACTCATCATGGACATGAATGTTATGGTGATTTGAGGCTTTTAATGATTTCTTTGAACTGTTAAAAAAATATAAAATGAAAAATATCAATTCAAATCTGTCCTCCCGATTCTTGCTGCCATTAAAGATGTACGCTCTATAATCATTCCATCCTGGAGAGAGAACAGTTCAAAGAAATGGGTAAAACCAATAAATACATGTCAGGGTGTACGTAAACCTCTGACTACAAGTGTACAGATTAATATGCCCCCGAAGCAATTCAGATTCTGACTATGGAAGCATCTGCCTCAGCTTTTACTCATCATCTCATCCAGATGAGTTAAAGTTGTTTTCCCATTCAAGTAAGACACAAATCTGCACTCCTTTAAAAAAACAACAACAAAAAACTATAAACAGAAAAAGCAGTATCATGGTCAGTGATCCCAAATGACAGAATACAATTATGCTAAACCATTTGGAGAAACCTATGCTACCATTAAAACACTAAATGGGAATGCGTTTGAAGAAAAAGAAGGAGATACTGCATTGTGAATGAGCCTCAGTTTCCTAATGAATGAGTGTCAGCATAACTGTTCCATGTGAACTCATTTGTTTTTCTGCCACATAACTAAAAGAACAGTATATGGTTCGGGTTGTTTACATACACTCATCATGGGCATGAATATCAGGATCATTTGGGGGCTTTGACCCTGGTTGGATTTGAGAAAATCCAAAATAAATTCAAACTTGTGCACCCAATTCTTGCTGTTTAAAGTAATACGCGTTGTATGGTTATTCCGCCCTGAAAAACCCCCCAGTTAAAAGAAATCACAAAACAAAAAGCCCAGGATTACCATGACATTCATGTCCATGAGGACTGTATCTAAACTGTAGCTCCATGGTGCAAATGGTTTGTCTGAACACAGCTAAGGTTTGAACGAGTCAACAAAATGACTCATTGTAATTAAGTTTTTCCTATATTAAAATAGAAAATTCAGGGGCACTGGAACCTTACCATTATCACGTCTGTTTATCTGAGATTTCCAGCCTGAGCATCTTAGTTATTGTTTTGGTATCTCTGTGTGGAGAAGGTCTAAAGGTTGAATATTCTTGAGTTCAAGGGCTGAAATCCTGAGAAAACTGCCTGAAGTAAACTAGCTCAGAGACAATAACAACAGGCTGAAGGTGAGAAGAGTTGGGCCTTTGCATCTAGTAATATATTCCAAGGAGATCTGTAAAGTGCTCTGCTGCCAGTTGTCCCACATAATGGTTTCCATGGTGATAGGTCCTCAGAGCTAGGCCTGCAGTACAGAAATGAACTGACAGAACAATGACCCCAACTTTCACCACGTTACAGACTATTTTTCAGAGGGCTCGTTTTCCATTCTGTGTCAGAAGGTAAGTAAACTTTACTTTACAGAAAATAAATTCTGCTTTTTTTCCATCTCTGTTGTTCCCATTATTTCCATGGTCAAAGCACAAACACATGCTAAAGCTTCCAGAGCCATCCTCTCAGCCTATAGTCTTGACAACACAGTTGGAATTTGGGATTTGTATGCATCAATAGTTTAGAAGAAAACAACATTCTTTCCCCAACTCTGAAGAACCATTTCCCTTCAGAGAGTCAATTTCCATTTTAGATAACTGGGAATTTTACAATGTTGATTTGACGCAGTGCCTTATCTTCCCTATAGTGCAATATAAACTTATTATGAACAAATTTCATCAGTGAACTTTGATAAAGATATTTGTTCACATAGCTGAGCAATCTACAGCAGAAAGAGGAAAAAGCAAATGAAATAATCACACTGAAGAGAAAAGCTCCATAGCTGGTGGCCTATCAGCATGAACATGCGCTGATGTTGGGGTTAGTGTCATGCCTTCTTTGTTTATATTTTCTATGAACAGAATTGACAGTGTGGGTTGACATCACAGACACAGGGGTGCACTATAAAATACGAAAAACCTTTTTCGTATTTTCGTAAATTTTTAAAGTTCTCTACTGTTCTCTGCTGCACTTGTTACTGTGACGTACCATAAATTTTGGGACTAAACCATTCTAGAGACATGAGTGGGTACATACCTAACTATGTAATCATCTACCACATACCATTATAATATTCAAATCTAAATAAGTGTTTATGCAGTTTATTAGGTATAAATGTATTACACCTTCTTAAATGTTAGGTTTTGCTATTAAAAAACAACAACTAATTATTCAGCTATGAAATTAATCATTAATTGCAGCTTATGCCTCAGAGTCATATTAATGATTCAACAATTATTGACAGCCCACCAAGTTTCTAAATGCTCCACTTGTAACTTGCTCGGGTTTTCAAAGGCAAAAAAACCCCAACAAAAAAAACACACAAAAAACACCATATGACAACTTAAGGATACGACAGTCAGCAATTGAATTTAAATAAAAATCTTGCTCAGGACTCCTTAAAGTTGCACTGTGAGTTTGCTCATTAACTCTCCTCTTGAGTGACCTTTGTTGCTCAAGGTGGGCTGGAATGAATTGCAGCCGTGTTTCTGACATCCTTCCAAAGACAGACTGTGCTGATTTATATCCAGTGAGAGCAATGCAGATTTTTATTAACCCACCGAATGTCCTCTAAACACTTTAAATCCATCCACATCAGATAATACCTACTAAGTAAAAAGCCACGGCCTCTTCCTGTTAAGGTAATAGTGCACAGGAAGGAAGTTAATCTATAAATGTACTGTCCCAGCTACCAAACATTAAGTCAACCTGATAGAAGCATCCAGTGACAATTCAACTTCAAAATTACCTTAGATGCAATATTGCTGCATAATAGGTACGCCTGTTCTTTTGACTTGTTTAAAACACCGGAGCAACAGTAGCACCTCTGCAAGCTCTGAGACACAGTGGTGCTTTAAATTCTTATCCCCGATACCCCTTTTTTAAAGCTGAGGCTGTTAGGAAATGGGAATCCCATTTGTGTTGTAGGTTTCTGATCAAAAACAAAGGAACTTTAGGAACTAGCTGCTAATGCTTTGCTAGAACACTATTACTCAGATCACATGCTCTGAGGTACAGAGCACCCAAGAACGTGGTGCTTCAGTTTTGGTGACTGTTCCTTTGCACGAATTGTAGAAAAGGAAATAATTTTTTTTGATCTCCTGCTGAACAAAGAAATTAACACAGCGAAACAGAAGATCTCGGCTCGACCTCTAAACTGAGGATGATTGATAGTCATGTTATAATTCGTACCAAGCTTCTTGCTTCTTGTAGCCGATTGCAGTCTATAATATTGTGCATGATGTCCTTTGAGAGCTGTGCTTGATTGATTGATTGTAATCTGTGCGTCCATGGCTAAATTGTGGGAATGGAATTCTAGCTGGGTTGTAGAGATCAAATATTATTTCACTTCATGATATGCAAATTAATGTATACCTTTTATGTAATGTGCTTTTTTTCTGGATTTCTGTTTTCATATTCTGTCTCTCCTCTTTAACATAAAAATTAAAGAGTGCTTATTTCTGTGTAAGTGAGCAAAAAAAGGGGATCAATGATTATTTCCCCCACTGTATATGTGCGCATTGCAGTACAGTTTTTTAATCCAGCTCACTACCCTGTCAAAATATGGTAACTTCTAGCTCCAACAGACCAACATGGTGTTTCCAAAAACATAACACTATGGTTTCACTATGCAGGTTCCAGAAACAAATGGGTGACATGGATGTGTTTATCTTTTATATAAACCCTACATACTTTTTTTCATGCAAAAAATGATCAGGAAAATTGACAAAGGGAAATGATAAGCAATTTGAACTATACGCATAATCAGTAATGACATTAGCACCAAATCCAGACCTTCCTGTAGTGCAGTGAACACAATGACATCTGATACAGGGGCTATTCTAGCTGTGCGAAGACAGCATGAGAAGAACAAGTGCAAAGAGCATTCGGCACATGGTAAAAGCAATCCAGTCTGATCATGCAGATTAAAAGGTCAAACTCTGCCTCAAACTTGCCTCTTTTCACTGTGTTTTTGTTGCCAGTAGTGGGTTTGCCTACTAAAATGTCCTGTCTTGTCCAAAGTGTGACAGTGGTCCTGGGATAAGCTGGCAGACTCAACACCCCTCCCCCCGCTGGCAGGGCCAGCTGTGTATTAAAATAAATCTGTGCACTTGTCCCACCCCAACACACTCGCTAGACATTACCTTATACAAAGCTAGCTCCAGCATATTCTGCTGTCTGGTGGCCTGTGATCAGATTTTAGCTTCTCCTGCTGCCCCTGGCTTCAACTCTCCAAAGCCCCCCTCCATGTTCAGCCCCACCTCTTGTGTGTTTCTGTGTACACGATCTCACATGACTCAACAAAAGCCCAACCTTGGAGCAGGGCTGTCCAGAGCATTTTTCCTAAGAGGGGAGGAGAAGACTTAGTTTGTGGAAGAGACCTGGAGTGCTGCCCTCAACTTGTCAGGCCTGATGGATTTTGGCTAAAAATAAAAGAAAGAAAGGGGCCCTCGAGATGAATGAACTCAGTAGTGCAGCACTGTTAACCAAGAAGCCACATCATGCAACATCTCCAGGTCCGTGGTGCTTAAAAAACAAGGAACGTTTGCATGGTGGCGAGAGCGCTGGATGTCACAAACAAAACAAACACAACAGCCCAAGAAGCATAGCTAATACAAGATGAACCAAGTCAGTGGGAATTCCTGAGC